GAAACACAGCTGTAACAGATTTTGAAAGGAAGTATACAGAGTGTAAGACAGTTTGATAAAGAGATTTAAACTAGTAAAAACGTTTTAGAAAGCCATTTAAAGTAATATATTTGGTAAAACAGATAAAAGTGTAGTAAATCCTTTTGCATGCGGGTTATTAATCACATGTGATTGATATGATAACTAGCATGATTCAACTTGTATTCCGCCTCCCCCATAAAAGCATTTAAAAACATTTAAAAGGTTAATTAAGGGGTATGAACTCACCTGTAGTGAGTGGATTGGATGGAAGTGTCGGGTAGGATGCTAGGTGTCAAGTGAGGACTTGAACACACACACGGATCCTATGTAATATGTAGTGATACATAAATGTATCTAATTAGTTATTTAATTACTAATTAAGTGAGTAAAGGCACTCTTATGTATGAAAACACTTTGTTTCAAGTGCTAGAAGTGCTAAGGGTTGCTTCTAAGGAGTGTATGGTCTCACTATGGAGTTTACACTTCAATTGGTCACCCCTATGGGTGTTTACGGTTGGAGGACCATTTCCCCCATGAGTTTACGGCGGTAAACTCATGGGAATGGTGTGTTTGTGTGTTTAAAGTTTCATGTTTCACAAAGAAGTGTCCTAGGGTTGATTCAAGGGCTTAGGAAGTGGTTAGGGCTCGAAATGGCATACTTTTTGGTGTTTACGGTTTTTGGACCAACCTTGAGAGTTTACGGTCGTAAACACTAGGGTTTACGGCCGTAAACCCAAGTATGCTTCAACCTTTTCATGTTTTGTGGTTCCTAGTTCATTCATGCAAGTTCCTAGTCCATAAGTCATGCTAGAGAGGGAGTTAGGGGCATCAAAACACCCTTTAGGGGTGTTTACGGTTTTGGGAGATCCCCAAACCGTAAACACTTGTTCTTGGGTGATATTGGTGTTCAATCCATGGTTTTCTAAGCACACTAAGTAAACAACTAGATTGGAAGAGTATACTTACTTCTAGGAAGCTTGTAGGAGTGTTTAGGACCCAAGAACACTAGTGTGTGTTCTTGGTGTTTTGAAGAATGCTTGAAGATCTATGTAAAAATCAAGAATTCACGGATGAAAAGATGTAAAAACACTAGACTAAGTGTTGTATAAGATAATCTAGGAGAGAAAACTTACACTTTTGGCAGATTTGGAAGAAGTGTGTGATGATACTTGAGAGAAAAACTTTGTGTTCTTGAGGTGGAAAGTGGAAAGTGAGCAAAAAGGGTGTAAACTCATGCTATATGCATGAGTCCTTGGGGAAGAGGTGTTTACGGCCCAAACACCAATTGTTTGGCCGTAAACTTCTAGTAAATGTGTTGGTTGCTCGGTTTGTTACTCCTTACTAATAACGACACTTTATTTTATTAAATCGTTTGACGAAAAATAAAATAAAATACCAAACGGGCTTCAATCCGGCCAAAAATGTACGGGAACGTTTTTGACTATTATTTGAAGTGTTTGACTGTAGAAATTATACAGATGAAAATTTCGGGTTGTCACATATTTGACCAAATATACTTACACAACAATAGTAGAGGTTTGTATGTTTTTCAAGCAAAGTTTCCCTAAAACACTAAAGGTGGAGGATATGAGTAAATTGAAGGCAAACATTATTACCATCTTGTGTAAGTTACAATTGATATATCCTCCCGCTTTTTTATATTATGGTTCATTTAGTTTTTCATTTTCCTAATGAAGCACTTTGCGGACATCTGATATATATGAGGTGGATGTATCCATTTTAAAGGTATATGAAGAAACTAAAAAACTATGTCATAAATGTTGGGTTTTTATTCAAAAATAGTTTCTAAAACATGACATTTTAGCAACAAAAGACTTGAATTTTTGAACAATTGTAAACAAGTTACAACCCACCAAGGATCATCTTTCAAGTAATGGAATGAAAACACCAACCATAGAAGAGTTAAAGAATACACAACCTTTGTTGTCTTTGGATCCTCAAAGGGAGGCTATGAAGTTGATGAACAATGTGGAACCTTTTAGACACCAACAATGAACCAACTTGAAGAGACGCTAGTCACAACTCTTAAGCTTTAAACGAAAACCAAAATTTGGCTTAAAAAGAGAAAGTAACTTCTTCTAACACTTTTGAAGAATAATAAGAGAATAAGAGAGGAAAACCTATGGTTTTTCTATAAAAAAAATTAAGGGATGAAAGAATTCATAAATCTAAACCATTACCAAAGAGTTCTTAACACTTTAAGCACTCTATACCCTACAGCCTACATGTCTCCAATGCCTTTTAAGACATGCTTACTTTCCCTTATTATATTTAAAAGACCATGTCTTGTTTCCTAGAAACTAGCTCATAGTTTTTTGTATAAATCGGCATCCTCAATTTGATGAAACAAGCTTCCTTATTTTCGTCAAGTTGCACCCATCGATCTTGCCACATTACTTTTCTCCAATAATTGAGATAGTCCATTGATTGTTTCCACTCACTTTACCAATCAACCTATTTCTCATTCTATTTGGTCTGTTATAGTTTTCAAGTCAAATAACCCAACATATACAACCTCTTCTCATTTTGGGCCACCTGTTGCAGCCAACACAAGTGGTCTTCGATCTTCACCCGGATACTGCTTATGCCATGATATAGCTGAGTGCATGATTGTTTCTGCTCCAATGCATACTAGATCTATAACAACCTAAGACATTGACCTGACTTTGTACACAGCTCTGACCCAATCCATTCCTCATCATCCTATGTTTACACAAGGAAAATGTAAAATCACAAAGCTAAATCCAAAGTATATTGTTGATTTCGCTTCTCTCCTGTACAACCCTCTTCACATTGCTATTTATTCAAATTAAAAAGCCTTGTGGTTTTAAAAGTGTTGTTAAAGATCCCAAACGGTTATCCGCCATAAAAGAAGAAATGCATGTTTTGAGATCTAATCATACATGGGTATTAGTTCCTAGACCCACTAGTTTGAATGTTGTTGGTTCTAAATGGGTATTTTGGACACAATATAATTATGATGGCTCTCTTGATCAGTTTAAGGCACGTCTAGTTGCCAGTTGTACTAACCACATACAATCTACCACAATGGCTATGTATGAAAGAGTCGTTATTTATGTTGACCTTGTTGATTCCCGACCCTAAATCACCTGGGAGGGACATCGATGTTTTCCTTAGGTTGTTGGTGGAAGAGCTTAAACATTTATGGTATGCTGGTGTACGTACTAAATACCCAACAAAAAAAACAATCTTCACAATGAAATCGATGTTTTTATGGACAATAAACAATTTCCCCCCTCACAATAGTCTATGAGGTTGGAGCGTAAAAGGATGAAAAGCATGCCCAATATGCAATGAAGACGCTCCTTCATTACATGTATCAAATAAAGTTGTATATGTCAGGTATCACCTCTTCCTAGATGCTAACCATCCATGGAGAAATATTTTGGACTTTAACAAAGCATATTCTTCGAACTCGATTATTTGTCTTCTCTACAACTGAAGTACAACATCGATGTTATGCACGTAGAGAAGAATGTAGGCGAGAGTTTTCGGTACTTTTCTAATGAACAATAAGTATAAAGACACATCAAATATACAAGACGACTTGGAAAAGATGCTAAAAATTCGTAGAACGCAATGGTTGTGAAGGAAGGTAACCACTTTTATAAACACCATTCAAAGTACGCATTCTCGCCCTCTAATCGACAACTATTTTGTGAATTTATAAAAGATGTTAAAATTGCCATATGGATTTGGATCTAACATTGGCAAAAAAAGTGGTAGATGACAATAAAAATATTACCAAATAGAAATCTCATTACTGTCACATTCTTATGCAACACTTTATACCATTTGGAGTTAGAGGGTATTTGACCAAAGATACTTACACAACAATAGTAGAGGTTTGTATGTTTTTCAAGCAAAGTTTCTCTAGAACAATAAAGGTGGAGGATATGAGTAAATCGAAGGCAAACATTATTACCATCTTATGTAAGTTACAATTGATATATATCCTCCCGCTTTTTTATATTATTATTCATTTAGTTTTTCATTTTCCTAATGAAGCACTTTGCGGACATCTGATATATATGAGGTGGATGTATCCATTTTAAACGTATATGAAGAAACTAAAAAACTATGTCATAAATGTTGGGTTTTTATTAAAAAATAGTTTCTAAAACATGACATTTTAGCAACAAAAGACTTGAATTTTTGAACAATTGTAAACAAGTTACAACCCACCAAGGATCATCTTTCAAGTAATGGAATGAAAACACCAATCATAGAAGAGTTAAAGAATACACAACCTTTTTTGTCTTTGGATCCTCAAAGGGAGGCTAGGAAGTTGATGAACAATGTGGAACCTTTTAGACACCAACAGTGAACCAACTTGAAGAGATGCTAGTCACAACTCTTAAGCTTTATACGAAAACCAAAATTTGACTTGAAGAGAGAAAGTAACTTCTTCTAACACTTTTGAAGAATAATAAGAGAATAAGAGAGGCAAATCAATGGTTTTTCTATCAAAAAATTATGGGATGAAAGAATTCATAAATCTAAACCATTACCAAAGAGTTCTTAACACTTTAAGCACTCTATACCCTAAAGCCTACATCTCTCCAATGCCTTTTAAAACATGCTTACTTTCCCTTATTATATTTAAAAGACCCTGTCTTGTTTCCTAGAAACTAGCTCATATTTTTTTGTATAAATCGACATGCTCAATTTGATGAAATAAGCTTCGTTTTTTCGGTCAAGTTGCACCCATCGATCTTGCCACTTTACTTTTCTCCAATTATTGTGATAGTCCATTGATTTTTGCCACTCACTCTACCACTCAGCCAATTTCTGATTCTATTTGGTATGTTAAAGTTTTCAAGTCAAATAACCCAACGTATACAACCTCTTCTCATTTTGGGCCACCTGTTTCGGCCTACACAAGCGGTCTTTGTTCTTCACCCGGATGCTCTTTGTGCCATGATATAGCTGAGTCCATGACTATTTCTGCTCCAATTCATAATAGATCTACACTAGCCCAAGACATTGACTTGTCTTTGTACACAGCTCTGACCCAATCCCTTCCTCATCATCCCATGTTTACACACGAAAAATCTAAAATCGTAAAGCTAAATCCAAATTATAATGCTGATTTCGCTTCTCTCCAGCAAAACCCTCTTCATGTTACTATTTTTTCAGATAAAGAGCCTTGTGGTTTTAAAAGTGTTGTTAAAGATCCCAAATGGTTATCCGCCATAAAAGAAGAAATGCATGCTTTGAGATCTAATCATACATGGGTATTAGTTCCTAGACCCACTGGTTTGAATGTTGTTGGCTCGAAATGGGTATTTTGGACAAAATATAATTATGATGGCTCTCTCGATCGGTTTAAGGCACGTCTAGTTGCCCAAGGATTTACACAAGTACCGAGTTTTGATTACGCTTTGACATTTACTCCAGTTGTAAAAGCTTTCAGTGTTCGAATAGTTTAATCTTTGACAGTCTTAAATAAAGGCTTCTTCACCAACTAGATGTTAAGAATGCCTATAGTCATCTCACTGAAACTGTATTTATGGAACAACCGCTTGTCTTTCTCGATCCTAAACTCCCTAACCATCTTAACCATGTGTGCTGATTATAGAAAGCTTTCTATGGCCTTAAACAAGCTCCGCATGCATGGTTCCAATGAATGACACTTCTCTATCCTAAATTCCTGAAATTCACCAACTAGATGTTAAGAATGTCTAAATTTTCCTTGGATTTTTCAATCCCAAATTTCCTCGAGTTTATTTGTAGTCGTTCTGACACTTCTCTTTTTGTTTACAAAAAGGGGACGTGTACTCTTTACCTTGTGGTTTATGTGATGACCTTATTCTAACAAGTCACCAACCAGAGTTTATTACCTCTTGTATTTCACTTTTAAATTGTGAATTTGCGATCAAGGACCGAGGAAACTTGAGTTATTTTCTCGGTCATGAGGTTGTTTATATTAATTACGGCTTGTTCCTTAGTTAAGCTAAATACGCTCATGATATTCTTACTGGAGCCATCTTATTGAGCCCTAAACATCTTTCTAAACCACTTTCCACCTCTGATTGCGTCACAAGCCCAGGTACTCCATTTAATTACCCCACTACATATCGCTCTTCGGTTGGTGCTTTGTAATATCCTACCCATACACGGCCTAACTTATCCTATGTCGTCAATCAAGTCAGTCAATTCTTGCATCCTCCAACTATTGATCACTTTCAAGATGTTAAATGAATTTTTGGGTATGTAAAGGGTACGATTTCCTATGGGTTATCTTTTCGGCAATCTAACAAACTGAACATCCTTGGTTATTCTGATGCTGATTGGGCTTGTTGTATTGAAACACGGTATTCTATGTATGGATACTCAATTTTTCTTGCTGGAAATCTTATTTCTTTGAGTGCTAAGAAACAACCTATTGTGTTCGAGCTGTGAATTTGAGTATCGTGCTACGGAAAATACCGCTTCTGAGATTGTTTGTGTCACTCATCTTCTTCGACAGCTTCATGTCTTACCTCTTGATCATCCAAACCTTCTATGCGATATCCGAAGTGCCATCTTTCTCAGTAAGAATCCAGTTTCTCACAAAGAAGCCAAACATAATGATATTGATTACCATTTGGTTCGAGCGCTTGTTGCCTCTGGTAAATTACATGCTAGGTTTGTTCCTAATAGGTTGCAAGTGGAAAATATTTTTACCAATAGTCTTCCAAAGCTGTTATTTGATAATTTTCATCATAATTTTTGTGTTGGACCACCACCCATGCGCCTGAAGGGGGAATTAGCGATAACTATACAGCTGGAGTTAGATAGCATTATCCCTTAGTATTCTAATTATGTATATTTAAACTTAGTGAGTAATATTTTAAAATGTATATCACTTAGCTATATTTGTATTATATATACTGAATTATAACCCTTTCCGCAGTTGTGTCGAGAGTTACAAACATTACCGAAGTGAAAGGAATTGAGCGAGTTTAGTAAGTCGATCCATCACGACCGATATCGTGGTATTTCCATTTGATGGAGGAAGGTGTGTGATAAATCAATAATGATGTCTACCATGGATTTATGGTGTTGATAATAATGGTGTGAGAAGGCCATATCGTTTGTGATTGGGAGATTTGGTGGTTTACCAAACTTGACAGTGCTTAATATAGTTTGCACATCAGTTTTCATGTATGGCTAAAAAAGGAGATGACATCTATTAGTATGTGGCATTTATTCCAGAGTTCCCACCTGGAAGAATGAATTCCCTATAAATGTGATGATAATGTGGAATGTCCGACAAAGTAGACATCGTCTCTACTTTTTTTAACCACTTCAGTAATTGTTTATAACTCATCAACGTGGGTGAATTTGGCATGCATGAGATTGCACATTTCATTGCTAAAGAAATAAATGGGGTTGTTTAGTATGATAGTGCCACACGAATTTGTGGATGAATCCATAGTGACATAGAATATATCAGAGAAGTAGGGTGATGTGAGGACAAGGAGGGACACCATGGTTGCAATGTGGTTGTGGGAGTCGATGGATCTTAAGTACAAAATAAAGGACGCAGGAACGTAAGGTATATGGTTTCAATAATCACCTAAAGAATAGACACACATACCATGATGATGTTGGGTTATGAGCACTCTAACACTCCTATGGTGTGCATGCAACCCTAGAAACCTTGGATCTATGTTTTCTCTATTATACATACAAACTTTCATTTTTCTAAGGTTTCATCCTAACTAGCATATCATGGGGTATATGTAATACAAAATTCTAGTAGAATGACATACCTTTCTTGTAGCTTTGATTCCTTAAGACTTTGTGAGCCTAGCACCCCAAATGTGATGCCTCAAATGCTTCACACAACACCACCAACAATTGGAATAACATGAGAGAAGATTATATTTGCACCAAAATCGACTAGCCCTCACTTGTGTATCTTAAGTGCCGATTTTGCTAGTATGAGGCTTATTTATATAGTGTGCAAATTAGGGTTACACCATGTAACTCATGACTTTCCACATTCCTCATGATCCATGGGTTTTAACCTCCATGGAGTATCCATGGGTCACCACATGGGTTTAGCCCAACATGAAGAACTATGGATCATAAGCCCACTATATAAAATGAATGATTTACCAAATCAATCCCCATTTATTTAATTAGTCTCTTTTGATAAAAAAAAATAATTCCAAACTAATTCTTGATAAATACTAATTAAATAATATGATTTCATATTAATATATTAGAACTTATAATATATTAATAAATCATAAATATCCTCTTCTCACAAAAGTCTATCCAAATTGTTCCGATGTTATGCAACCCAAATGGACCATGCTAAATCGGGTCAAGTACATACCAAATATAGTTATGGACTTAGACACCTTATCCAACAGTCTCCCACTTGGATAAGTCTAATAACTATAGCTGCAAGTATGACTTCAGGATCTGACCAGCAATCGTAGCTCTTAAAAGTCTTGTGGAAGTAAGTTGTGCCATTTTAGATAAGTGATCATATAATCCTCTATTCTCAAGATATCAGCCAGACAAATACATGGAACAACGTCGTACTTATTGTCCAGCGGTTTGTTTCCCGATTTCCGATTTGTATGACATAGAACTTAATCGAACACATCAATTCAGTTCTGACCGGGCCCGGCACATAAGTCAAAACAAAATCATCGAGGGGCACAAGATATCGCTTTTAATCCTCCAAGGACTAAAAGGAACAGATAAACTTCAACTCATATGCTTGTACTGACTAATCATCAAATTGTACACAACAGCACATTTTATAACATCAAGTTACTGATGCGTTTTCGTACTATCAATGTACAACCAACTCATAGTCAACAACTCATATCTCTTGGTTTGAAGACTTATATGATATTACCATGTCACGATCACTCGAGATAAATTCCATGAAGTGATACAAGTGAGCGTAGGTTGAATCCAATACTCAGAACTTTTGAGCACTCATGAATGTTGCAGCAACAATTGATATGTCTAATACAATTCAGACAAATCTACAAACCCAATTCATGACAGTATTATTTCAATACCTACTTCCAAAGTATGATCGACTGTGGATAGTTTGAATAATATAATTATTCTGGAAGTCAAAACATGCAAAATGAAACAATAGTAAATGATTGACACAAGACAGTACCATACTAGTAAATAAAAACACCTTTTATTTAAACATCAAATGTCAATTACATTTCAACTATTACAAGTTTCGAAAGCTATCTAATTACTAAAACTAATATCATCCTTCAGCCCAATGCGCCTCGCATGCTGTAAATGCTTAACCCTACACAGTCCCTTCGTGAGGGGATCTGCTGGGTTGTCATCCGATGATACCCTCTTTGCCACGATGAGTCCTTCTTCTATTCGATGTCTAATGAAGTGGTATTTCCTGTCGATGTGCCTGGATCTGTTGTGATCCATTGGTTCCTTGGCTAAGGAAACTGCACTCTCGTTATCACAGAAAATCTCCATAGGCTCCTTAATAGTTGGTACAACTCCAAGGTCTCCAATGAAGTTCTTTAGCCATATCACCTCCTTCGCCGCCTCGCTTGCTGCTATGTACTCTGATTCGCAAGTTGAATCAGCTACTGTCTCCTGCTTGGATCTTTTCCAAGTAATTGCTCCTCCATTTAAGGTAAAGACCCAGCCCGACTGAGATCGGAAATTATCCCTGTCTATCTGAAAGTTGGCACCACTATACCCCACTACTCTCAAGTCATCACTCCCACCAAGGGTAAGGACCCAGTCCTTAGTCCTCCGTAGGTACTTGAGAATGTTCTTCACCGCAGTCCAGTGAGCCTTTCCATGATTCCCTTAATATCTTTTGACCATGCTCAAAGCAAAGGCCACATCAGGGCGAGTACAAGTCATAGCATACATGATCGAGCCTACAACGGAAGCATATGGTACTTGACTCATCTCAACTATCTCAGCCTCTGTACTCGGGCTTTGAGTCTTACTCAGTTTGGCGTTACTCTGGATCGGTAAGTCACCTTTCTTGGAATCCTGCATGCTGAATCCTTTCAGCACCTTATCCAAGTAGGTCCTTTGACTAAGTCCAATTAGTCTCTTAGTCCTGTCTCTCAATATCCTTATCCCTAGGATATAGGCAGCTTCTCCAAGGTCCTTTATAGTAAAACACTTCCCAAGCCAGGACTTAACCTCCTGCAAGGTTGGGATGTCGTTTCCTATTAGTACTATGTCATCCACATACAATACCAAAAAGCTAACTATACTCCTACTAGCCTTAACATACACACAGGACTCATCCTCGCTCCTCGAAAAGCCAAACTCTTTGACTTTCTCATCGAAACAAAGATTCCATCTGCGAGATGCTTGTTTTAATCCATAGATGAATTTCTCAAGTTTACACACTCTATTAGGGTGTTTTGGATCGACAAAACCCTCTGGATGACTCATGTAAACATCC